CAAGCCCGGGTCGCCGCGTGCGCCGGCCTGCCTGGAGAAATCGCAGCGGGGTACGTCGGCCCTGGCAGCCGGCCCCCGGTGCGGTATGCTCCCCCGTCTGGACCTCGCGGCCTCCGAGTGCGTAGCGTCCCCGATCGAGAGCCAAGCTCCGCGGGCCGCGTCAGGAGCCAAGCTCCGCGCCAGGGTCGTCTGGGCCCCTGCAACAGGGACGATCCCGGCCCCTCAAAAGGAGCCCCCCCGAGGCCCGGTGCGGCTTTAGTGGGCCCCCCAGTGCCCGCGCCCGCCCAAGGCTGGCGCGTAGGCGGGGTGCGTCGCCTAATGCGCTAGAGAGAGAGAGGACGCAAATGTACAACATGCGGACGGACGCAGTCGGGCGCGCATCCCCTTCAATAACTAGTCCAACATGAGGTTAACGTTCGACTCGGGTGAGTGATGTCGTTCCCGATCCGGGGAAGAGGGGTCTGGCGGGCGAGCTAGAAACTTGGCTAGATTACCAGCTTAGTTGCCGCGGAGCACCCGACGGTGTTCGGTGCTGCAAATCCCGCAGGCGACGGGGCACGCCGCGTCTCCTTTGACCTTGCCCTCGCCCTTCTTGGAGCATTTCTCGGGCTTCTTCGCCATGTAGTCGCAGTCGTACTTGCTCTTTTTCCAATACCATGAAGATGAGTCCTCGCACGGTCCCTCGACGCCACCTGTAGGTGAGGGCACCGGAGCGCTCGCGTCGCATGTCCCGCAGGCGACGGGGCACGCCGCGTCTCCTTTGACCTTGCCCTCGCCCTTCTTGGAGCATTTCTCGGGCTTCTTCGCCATGTAGTCGCAGTCGTACTTGCTCTTTTTCCAATACCATGAAGATGAGTCCTCGCACGGTCCCTCGACGCCACCTGTAGGTGAGGGCACCGGAGCGCTCGCGTCGCATGTCCCGCAGGCGACGGGGCACGCCGCGTCTCCTTTGACCTTGCCCTCGCCCTTCTTGGAGCATTTCTCGGGCTTCTTCGCCATGTAGTCGCAGTCGTACTTGCTCTTTTTCCGATACCACGACGATGAGTCCTCGCAATTCGAGCTGGGATTTGGAGTGGGCATGGGTGACATGTCTTGTGGAAAAGGTGTCGGTTTCGGAGTTGGCGCTATTTGCGTGGGCATCGTCGGTGGTTCTGCGGAAGGCGTCGCTGTTGGTTCTGCGGGAGTCGGCCGAACGGTTGGCGCCGCAACAGGTGCAGGCAACGGGGCACGCGTCGGCGAGAACGTGGGAGCAGCCGTGCTAGGCGCCGGCAGCGATGGTGCAGCTGTCGTCGGGGCCGGTGACGGAGAGGACGACGGCGAAGCAGTCGTCGGCGTCGCGGATGGACCGAAAGACGGGCATACGGAAGGCGCGGGCACCGGAGCCGCCGTCGGGGCACGCGTCGGCGAGAACGTGGGAGCAGCCGTGCTAGGCGCCGGCAGCGATGGTGCAGCTGTCGTCGGGGCCGGTGACGGAGAGGACGACGGCGAAGCAGTCGTCGGCGTCGCGGACGGACCGAAAGACGGGCATACGGAAGGCGCGGGCACCGGAGCTGCCGTCGGGGCCCGCGTCGGCGAGAACGTGGGAGCAGCCGTGCTAGGCGCCGGCAGCGATGGTGCAGCTGTCGTCGGGGCCGGTGACGGAGAGGACGACGGCGAAGCAGTCGTCGGGGTCGCGGACGGAGAGGGCGACGGGACCGAAGATGGTCTCGGTGTCGGCGATGATGTTGGTTCTCCAGAAGGTAAAAACGAGGGAACTGTTGTCGGTACAGGCCAAGGTAGGGCTGTGGGGCCTAGCGACGGACTCGAGGACGGTGTCACTGTCGGTGATAGTGTCGGCTGTGGAGACGGACATGGCGACGGTGCACCGGAGGGAGGCTTCGTCGGCTCAGGGCGAGGTAGGGCTGTTGGTGCGAGGGATGGCACCGCGGTCGTCGGTGCCGAAGTCGAAGGTCGCACGCTGGGGCTTTGAGATGGGAGAAGGGTCGTCGGTGCCGAGGACGGGCTCTGCGTCAGCGTGTCGATGGTCTGGCCCGAGCACACTGGCGGCGTTCCGCTCGAGCTCCCGAGCCGTAGGCCTGTTCCGACTGAAAACGAGAGCTTTGATGGGCCGTGCAACGCTACACCGAGCACGCTCGCCCCCGACGTGACGACCAGCACGGGCTCGTACCCGAACTCCTCCGCCGCCAGAGATCCGGCGACTTCGGCGTACTTCTCGAGTCCCACTGCGCCCCGCGGGATCCATGCAGTTGGATCGTCGAATCGTCCGACAGCGGAGCGCGGGTCCAGCACCGCGCTGTTCTCGGAGCAGATCTTCGCGTAGACCGCGTCAGCTCCGTGGATTGTTGGCATCGCGGTAGTAGGCATCGCCGTCGTCGGCGAGAGCGTCATGGTGGGCACCGCGGTCGAAGTAGGAGCGGAGGACGGGCTCTGCGTCAGCACGTCGATTGTTTGGTCTGAGCACGTTTTCGGCGCCTCATTCGTGCGCGCCAGCCGCAGCCCCGCTCCGACAGCAAAGGCCAGCTTCGACGGACCATGTAGCACGACCCCGAGCGCACTCGCATCATCATCGGACGTGACGGCCAGCACGGGCTCGTACCCGAACTCCTCCGCTGCCAGAGATCCGGCGACTTCAGCGTACTTCTCGAGTCCCACTTCCCCTCGTGGGATCCACGCGGTAGGATCGTCGAACCGTCCGATGGCCTGACGCGGATTCAGCACCGCGCTGCTGTCCATGGAGCAGACTTTCTGGAAGGCCGCGGCGGTTCCGTTCAAAGTCGGCGCGGGAGTCGGCATCGCCGTAGTAGGTGCGAGTGTTGCTGACGGCGGCGCGCTCGACGTCGGCGCCGAGGACGGGCTCTGCGTCAGCGTGTCGATGGTCTGGCCCGAGCACACTGGCGGCGTTCCGCTCGAGCTCCCGAGCCGTAGGCCTGTTCCGACTGAAAACGAGAGCTTTGATGGGCCGTGCAACGCTACACCGAGCGCGCTCGCCCCCGACGTGACGACCAGCACGGGCTCGTACCCGAACTCCTCCGCCGCCAGAGATCCGGCGACTTCGGCGTACTTTTCGAGTCCCACTTCCCCTCGCGGGATCCATGCAGTTGGATCGTCGAATCGTCCGACCGCGGAGCGCGGGTCCAGCACCGCGCTGTTCTCGGAGCAGATCTTCGCGTAGACCGCGTCAGCTCCGTGGATTGTTGGCATGGTCGTCGGAGGCGCAGTAGTAGGCATCGCCGTCGTCGGCGAGAGCGTCATGGTGGGCACCGCGGTCGAAGTAGGAGCGGAGGACGGGCTCTGCGTCAGCACGTCGATTGTTTGGTCTGAGCACGTTTTCGGCGCCTCATTCGTGCGCGCCAGCCGCAGCCCCGCTCCGACAGCAAAGGCCAGCTTCGACGGACCATGTAGCACGACCCCGAGCGCACTCGCATCATCATCGGACGTGACGGCCAGCACGGGCTCGTACCCGAACTCCTCCGCTGCCAGAGATCCGGCGACTTCAGCGTACTTCTCGAGTCCCACTTCCCCTCGTGGGATCCACGCGGTAGGATCGTCGAACCGTCCGATGGCCTGACGCGGATTCAGCACCGCGCTGCTGTCCATGGAGCAGACTTTCTGGAAGACCGCGGCGGTTCCGTTCAAAGTCGGCGCGGGAGTCGGCATCGCCGATCCTCGGTGCGAATGTTGCTGACGGCGGCGCGCTCGACGTCGGCGCCGAGGACGGGCTCTGCGTCAGCGTGTCGATGGTCTGGCCCGAGCACACTGGCGGTGCCTCGTACGAGTTGGCAAGCTGCAGACTCGCTCCCACAGAAAAGGCGAGCTTCGAAGCCCCGTGCAAGACGACACCGAGCGCGCTTGCCAACGACGGAACGGCCAGCACGGGCTCATACCCGAACTCCGCCGCTGCCAGAGACCCGGCGACTTCGGCGTACTTCTCGAGTCCCACTGCGCCCCGCGGGATCCACGCAGTTGGATCGTCGAACCGTCCGACAGCGGAGCGCGGGTCCAGCACCGCGCTGTTGTCGGAGCAAATCGCTGGGTAGGCGTCGCTGCGCCACATGATAGTTAGCGAAATTAGCGCAGCGGCCATGGCGGCAAGCTCCATAGTTCACGGGAGCTCAGTTTCAATTAAAGATGCCAGAATGAAGGCCGACGGACCGCGCTTGGATAGATTTGGATGGCGCAGCCACCTCAGCGGGGATGGAGGAGGGTAGGGCAGGGCGGGTGCTTCATTTGTGCCGAAGGAGGGTGGCGGGCGGGCCAAAAAATATAAGCCGCGCCACCCCGGACCCCGGGGAAGCGGCGAGCTGGGAGAGGACCACCACAGATATCCCTTACTCACTGACAGGTCGTTCCTGAGGTCCGCCTGTGTCAGGACAGGGTTCAGTACCTTGTACTCCCCATAAGTCCGAGCCCGTTTGTACTTCTCATACCTCAAGTTGCTCTGGGAGTCCTTCCTCTTGGGGTTCACCTGGTTGAAGCGTAGTGGTGTACTGTCGTTGAGGGGCGGTCCGATGGCCCCAGCCTTTGCACCTGCCACGTAAGGTCGATAGTCGTCATCTGGACAGGGGACAACTTGAACGTCTATCCGACATTTCTCTGATGTCAGATTGTCCAAAGCTAGGGCCACAGCCTGTTCAGTTGTGGCGGGCTCGGGCCGAGGGCTCGCCTCGCCGTTTTCGACCATGGTATCAAACCTGTTGATGCTGTCCGAGTCCATGGCACGGTCAGCCATGACATTAGTCAGGGCCTCACCAATGCTTTCACCTATCATAGGGTTAGCATTTACATTTTTTTTACTTTTTCGAAGAATCAACAATAATTATTTTACTTCCTCTGAAAAAAAATGCCTCTTGTACCGTGCCTACGGCGAAATAATCGAGATATAACATGGACGCTCGAGATATAACAAAGATATAACAAGAATGCGTTGTGATTTCAGGTACCATCACAAATTATAATTTCCTCGGGAAGCAGAGAACCTGAGACCATGTCGCCATCGACCATCATCGCCTTGCTATGCGGCTTCGCTGGGAGCAAGCCGTCCGCAGCTGCGCCCCACGCCCTGCCGGTGCCGCACTGGCCTGGGCCCGTCCACCTGCCGCTCCAACCTTGGGAGCGGCTCCCAGAGGTCTTCCTACCGGGCCTTGGCATCGACCATGCGCCTAGGCCGCTCACACTGTCTGAGCTGATCGAGCCGTTCGCAGACAGCCGCCGATGCCACGAGCCGTACCTGCTCGTCCGAGGCGACGCCGGGCACGACGACCTGGACGAGGAGCTGCGGCAGCGCGTCCTCTCGACGTGCCTCAATGAAGACGCCGAGTCCCTGGTCGATGTCATCGCGACGGCGCGCAAGCACGTGTCCGTCATCTTTCAGTACGAGTACCTCAATTTGACCAGTCTCCACAAGATCGAAGGGCTGCTCGGCGACTTCCCGGCGCTCGAGCCGGCATGCTCGTCCACCGACGCGACGACGACGGCCCACCTGTACTTCTCCTCGGCTGGAGCCTCGGCGCTCCCGGAGCATGCGGACTTGGGCGATGTCTACGTACTGCAGCTCGCGGGCGTCAAGGATTGGGCGTACGCCACCGTCTCGGATTGGCACGCCGCGCGGCGCGACGACGAGCACCAGAACGCGACGCACGTGCGCGCGCGCGTCCCGTTGGCGCCCGGGAGCGCGATGCGGGTCCCGTCGGGCTTCCGGCACAGCGCCAGAGCCGGGAAAGAATTCTCCGTCCACCTGACAATGGAGACAACGACGTGCCCTGAGGAGCAGCCCGGAGGGGCTTCTCGGCAGCAGATGATCCTCGAGACTCTGCACGAAACGCGCTCCGCTTCGTCTTGGAAGGACATGATCGCGATGGCTTCGTCCTGTGTCATCACTTTTCCTGGACGACCGTGCGTCATTCCCTCTCAAGACGAACTCGCTTCGCCGAGGCTCCTTCCAGACACGCCCGCACCGACTTTCGTGTCCGAGTCCCTCGTCACGACCGCCGCGCTCTCAGTGGGGATCGTCCGAAGGCTCTCCATTTCGCCGGGCAAGGCCTTCGGACTGGACGCGCGCGCCGCGCTTCTCTCGGTGATGCTGGGAATCGCGAGCGCTGCCGGCTACGATGACGGTGCCCTTCTCGACCGGCTGATGGCGGCAGAATCCCGCGTCGAGACGCTCCTCGCCATGTTTGAGGCCCTGCAGGAGGAGGTCGCCGCGGATCGACGTCTGCAAGGAGGAGAGGGTCGTCAGCTCGAGGAGGACACGACCGATACCGGCTATCTGGGTTGGAACGGTGTGAACTTCTACGTCGAAGGCGGTGGGCTCCTGGTGGGCGGCCGCGACGTCGAGGCCAACCTCGCGGCCCTGGACGACTTCGTCATCTCTCCCTGGAACCAGGCCATCGCGTTTCACGCGGTCAAGACGGCAGATCAGAGTGCTGTCGCGTCGGGGACTGTTGTGACGTTTGATACGGAGCTCCTGGACGTCGGGAATGGGTATTCGACGGCGACGTCCGTCTTCACCGCGCCGGCCTACGGTCTCTACCGCATCGACGTCGCAATTCGATCCTCGTTCGGGACTCGCGATTTCCGTCTCTACCTGAACGGAGCTGATACGAAGCTCTCGGCTTGGACGTCCGGTGGTTCTGCGACTACGGGTCAATCACTAAACGGGAACTCGGGATATCGTCACACCCACTCTTATAGCAAGATCAATCACCAGAACGCGCACCTCAACGCGATGCTGTACCTCGACACAGACGACGAACTCAACATTGTGAACAACGCGGACGATGGGGACGCAACTGGCAGCACAACCCAGTACTACACCTCATTCTCCGGAGCCCTCGTCGGAAAGCCGTCGATCTCGACCGCGCTCGATCACGCGCTGTGCTTTAGCGCTGCCTGTCGCTTGTCCGACCACGTCGGCTCCATGAGCGCGACCCTGAAACACGGCGCCACATGTTCCGTCGGTGAAGGGATCTACTTCGACGGAGTCGACGACTACGTGGATCTCGACGATGTCGAGCTCGGCGGACCGATGACGATATCGATGTGGGTCGAGTGGGAGGAAATCACCGATGACGGCTATCTCCTCGATTTTGGAAACGGCGAAGTTAGCAACAACATCATCATCAAAGGCGACAAGTTCACTGACACCATTGATTATTGGATCCTGCAGGGCATCGACGCGGATGCGACGACCAAGTCGACCAGCGCTTCCCGATTTATCGATCCGGGAGTGCTGACGCACCTCATGGTGACGACGCGTTTGACTACGACGACGATGCGTCTGTACAAAGATGGAGAACTCAAGGGCTACACATCGAGTGGGTGGGAGCCAAAAACGCTCACGCGATCGTACCACGTGCTCGGAACGTCCGCGGGAGGACAGAACTACTTCCAGGGGACAATCAAGTCGCTCGCCATTTGGTCGCGGTCGCTGGCTCCGGCAGAAGTTGCTCAAGTCTACAACTACGGCGCTGACCTCTGCTCCGTCCTCAGTCTCGACTGATTGGCCCTTTGAGATCCGCGACAGTCAAGATGGCAGTTGGTGCCTAAAACTTGAAGCACACACCTTCTGCCTCCAGCCACTCCTCGGTGCCAGCTCAATCCCCCTCCAGCTCCACCGCGAGTGGGGTCCCACCGCCGCGAAGCACCGCGTGCGCTACCTGCCCTGCCTGGCACCTGGAAGGCCGTCGAGCAATCCCCCTCTCCGCCTCGCGGGCCGCGCCGCCCTCGCCACCACCACGGCCAGCCTCCGCTGCGACGATTAGTCGGCGGCCTCGTGCCGCCGGCTAGCTATAGCCCGGTTCGCCGAGGTGCTTGAACCCCCCTGGATAATCGTCCAGATCGACGTCTCCGCATACGGCCGGCGACGGGGCCGCTCTCGCTCGCCGGGGCTTCAAGTTCGACTCGTGAAGACGTTCGTGAAGTCATCTGGGTCCGTGCCTTCCACCGTACTGGTATCCCGATGAGATGGTGAGCTTCCCTAACCTTCTCGCGTTCGCGCTCGTCGCGGTCGCCAACTCGCGAAAGATCTCTCCGAAAGAGGTGCAGCGCCGGGAGCAGCGGAAGCGAGAGCGGGCCGAAGGGCTGCGCGGGCCGGCGGCCGAGCAGGCTCTGCAGGACACTGCGCGCACGCAAGCGAGCCCCGCCCTGCGCCTCGAGACGCAACGCGCCGAGCTCGAGGAGCGGCTCGCCGAGCTCGAGACGCGGGGCGCCGCGCTCGCCGCGGAGACGGCGCGCGTCGAGCACGGGCTCGCCGACGTCCTCGAGGCCCTCGACCGCGCGAACGGGACGGACGCCGCGGCGGCGCCTCCGCCCGCGGCGGCGCCCGCGGCGTGCGCGGCCCCTCCCGCGGGTGGCAACGCGACGGTCGTGCGCTTCGGCGCCGTCGACGAGTCCGGCCTCCGCGTCGCCGGGCGGGGCTGGGGCCGCGTGCTGGCGAAGTGGCGGTGCGCGAAGCGGATGAAGATCGCGGTGCTCGGCGGTTCCATGACGTGCGGCGGCAACCTCGCCAAGTCGGACGAGGACAAAAAGGGCAAGGCCTGGCCCTCGCAGCTCCTGGCGAAGCTGCGGTCGAGCCTCGGCGCGGGCGTGAGCCTGCACAACGCCTGCGTGCCGGCGTCGTCCCTGGGCTGGTGCGTGAGCCTGCTGTCGACGCGCGTGCTCGCGGGCACGGACGTCGTCGTCGTCGACTACTCGCAGAACGACAACCGGCCGACGATCGAGGACGCGCGCGAGGGCGGCGCGGCCGTCGACGCGTCCGTGCGCCGCGTCGCCGAGGCCTTCCTCGTGGCCCTGGCGAAGCTCGCGAGGAGCCGGCGCGAGCCGCCGCCCGCCGTGCTCTTCCTCACGACGATCCTGCCGCCCAAGTTCCACATGCCGACGACGAAGCCGGCCTTCGGCGACTGGCGCGCGCTCTGGGCCGACCCGGAGCGGGCCGCGGCCTACGCGGCCGTGCTCCGGGGCCACGCGCGCATCTACGACCGCGTCGCGACGTTCCACGGCGCGTCGTCCTTCGCGCTGCAGGACCACGACGGCCTCTGGCCCGCGGGCGAGCTCCTCGGGAACGCGCGCCTCGCCGAGCTCTGGCGCGCGCCGGCCTCCAAGGGCGGCGACGTCGACCGCCACCCGGGCGCCGCCGCGCACGCGTTCGTCGCCGACGCGGCGCACGCGGCGGTGCTCGCGCTCGTGCGGCGCGCGGAGCGCGGCGACGGCGCCGTCGTCCCCGACTGGGCGCCGGGCAACGGCACGCTGTCGAGCCCCGACGAGCTGGCGGAGCTCGCCGCCTGCTCGCTGGGCATGGCCGCGCGCCACGTCGCCGCCGACGCCGACGCCGCGGGGCGCCCGGGCGCCGAGGTCCGCGCGGGCGGCGGCTGGGCCCTGGGTCGGGACCGCCCGGACAAGCCCCCGGGCTGGATCGTCAACGCGACCGCGGCCGCGACCTCCGAGCTGTCGATCGTCGTCCCCTGCGGCAAAGCGAGCACCGTCGGCCTCGAGTACCTCCGGAGCTACGAGCACATGGGCTCCGCGCGCGTGTCCTTCACGACGATCGACGTCGAGAAGGACAAGTTCAACGAGCTCATCTGCGCGGGCGACGACGAGTGCGCGGCCTACGCCGCCGCCGCGCCGAACTCGAAGACGCGCGTGAAGGTCTCGGCCGTCGAGACCGCCTCGCTCAACGCGACCTGGCCCCAGGCCGAGTCCCTCGCCGTCGTCAGGCAGTTCAAGGTCAAGTGCCGGAACTACCGCATGGTGTGGAACCCCGTCGTCGTCAGTTCAAGCTCCTCTCCGCCTTCGCGTGCTAGGGTCCCTTCGAAGACCCCGCAGCACACGAGCGCCATGAAATCCCCACGTTAAAGCACCCATAATAATAAGAAGAATAGCTCCGCAGTCTCGGGAAGTGTCTCCGGAACGAGTAATCACTAAGACTTGAAGGATCATTGAACGGAAAGGTGCACTATTTTCGCCACGCATCGAACTTGGGGAAACGAGGCCAAGCGTCGAGCGCGTCGGCCGTCGCGCAGGAAGGAGACCAACTCTCGTCGAGGGCGTCGGCCGTCGCGCAGGGAAAGGAGGCCAAGCGCGTCGAGCGCGTCGGCCGTCGCGCCGGGAAAGGAGGCCAGGCGTCGTCGACAGCGTCGGCCCCCGCGGCGGCGCCGCCCGCCCCCGCGCCGGCGCCTCGGCATGGTCGTCCACGATGGCGAGGTGCCGCCGCCGCTGCTCTTCTTCACGGCCGTCGTGTGCACGTCGGTCATGGCGAACTTCACGCTCCTCGTGCCCGTGTCGACGTACTACAGCGCGACGCTGCTGGAGAGCGGGGTCATCGTGTCGAGCTACGCGGGCGGCGCGCTCGTGAGCCTCTACTTTTGGAGCACCTACGACCGCTACAGCATCCGGCCGGCCTACGTCGCGCAGGCGGCGATCATGTGCGGCGGGAACGCGCTCTTCGCGGCCGTGTGCCTCGCGGACCTCGGCGCGTCGACGACGTTCTACGGCCTCCTCGCCGCGCGGTTCGTCGTGGGCCTCGAGGCGGGCGCGATGTACAACGCGAACCTCGCGCTCGTGGGCTACTCGGCGGCGGAGCACCGCGTGCGCTACCTCGCCATGTACCAGTCGTTCGTCGGCGTCGGCCTCGTGCTCGGGCCCGCGATCTCGAGCTCGTGCCTCGCCGTCGCCGAGGCCCTGGGGTCCGCCGCGCTCGAGGAGTCGCTGTCGGCCGTCGTCATGGCGGCCTGGGGCGCGTGCGTGCTCGCCGCCGTCGCCGCGCGGCTCCCCGACGACGCGGCGCTCGAGGCGGCCTACGGCCGGCCCGCGGCGTCGGGCCTCGACGACGACGACAAGGGCCGCGCGCCCGCGCCGGGCCTCTTCGGCCTCGACGGCCGCGACTCGCTCCTCGGCGAGATCTTTCTCGGGAACCTGCTGCGCATCTACCAGCGCCTCGGCTGGGAGGTCGGCGCCGTCGTCGTGCTCGCGGACAACTACGGCTGGGGCTACATCGCCGCGGGCTACAGCCTCAGCGCCTTCGGCTTCGCGCAGGCCGCGGGCCAGTACGCGTTCGCCGTCCGCGCGGGCGCCGCGGACCCGGGCACGGCGCTCGACCGCCTCGAGTTCGTCGAGGGCCTCGCGATCGGCGCGCTGTTCACGCTCGCGACGGCGGCGGGCGCGATGAGGGGCTTCCTCAACGCCGTCTTCGTCGCCGCGTCGCTCGTCTTCTACCTCGCGAACTGCCTCACGTCCGCGCCCTACAACGCGCTCATCCTCGACAAGGCCGCGGGCCTCGACCGGGAGGAGATGCTCCTCGCGTCGCAGTACGGCATCAACTTCGCGCTCGGCCTCGCGCCCATCGTCGTCCGCGGCGCCATGGAGGCCGTCGGCTCGCCGGGCGACGAGCAGAACACGCTCGCGGCCGTGCTCCTCTGCGGCTGGGCCGCGCAGACCGTGCTCAACGGCGCGCTCACGGGCCGCGTCGCGTCCGCGCTCGTCGCGACGCTCGGCCTCGCGACGGCCGCGCTCGTCTTCTGGGCCATGCTCGACAAGGGCGTCGGCGGCACGGGCTGGGCGAACGTCTTCTCCTGGCACCCCGTGCTCATGGCGCTCGCGTTCTTCGCGGCGATGACGCTCGGCCAGCTCGCGTACAAGGACGACTTCGGCCCGGCGCCGAACGTCAAGGAGGACCGGCGCCGCGTCCACGGCGCACTCATGGCGCTCGCGTTCGTCCTCGCCGCCGCGGGCTACTGCTTCATCTTCACCGCGCACGAGGAGAGCGGCGAGTCGCAGGTCGGCACCGACGAGACCTGGTCGCGCGCGGTCCACGTCTGGATGGGCTACCCGACGCTGCTGTGGCTCGTCGTCCAGGCCACGGCGGGCGCGCTCAAGGCGCGCACGCTCGAGGTGCTCGGCGAGCGCACGTTCAAGTGGCACGGCGCGTCCGGCGAGTACCTCCTCGTCGCCGGCTACCTGACCTCGCTCTGGGGCTTCTGGCTCAAGTTCAACTACCGCGCGCTCGGCGGCTGGAACACGCAGCTCAAGCTCGCGCTCACGGCCCTCACGGCCGCGCTCCTCCTCCTCCCGGCGCCGCGGCTGCCGCCGCTCGTCGACGCGGCCGACGCGGACGCGACGACGGGGCTCCTCGACGCGGCCAAGGAGGCCGAGCGGCGGAAGGCCGCGGCCGCCAAGGCCGAGGCCGACGCGGACCTGCCCTAGGCGCGGGCGGGGGGGGTGAAGTACGTTCCTACTCGGCGGCGCCGTCCCGCGCGATATCGGGGGGGAGCGGGGGGGCCTAGGAGAAGACGGTCGTCCAGACCTGGGGCGCGAGCGCCTCGAGCGCGGCCTTGATCGCGGCCTCGGCCTGCTCGTCGGGCGCGAGGGCGATCATGAGGCCGCCGCGGCCCGTGCCGGACATCTTGGCGCCGGCCGCGCCGGCGCCGCGCGCGGCGAGCACGAGCGCGTCGAGCTCGGCGCAGGACACCGTGAGCTTCTGGCAGAGCGCGTGGTTCTCGTCGAGGCACGCGCCGAGCGCGGCGACGTCGCCGGCGTCGAGGGCGGCCTCCGCGCGCGCGAGGAGGCCGACGTAGGACTGCAGGAGCCCGTCGAACCAGGCCGGGTCCGATTCGCGCTTCGCGGCGACGTCGGCGACGACGGCGGTCGTCGACGCCGTGATGCCCGTCGACGCGTAGACGACGCGGATCGGCGCCGGGAGCGCCTTCTTCTCGAACTTGGGCGCGCCGGCCGTGCGCGCGAACTTGAGCACGCCCCCGAAGGTCGCGGCCGTGTTGTCGATGCCCGACGGCGTGCCGTGGTAGCCCTTCTCGCCCTCGTAGCCCGCGGCGTTGACCGCGTCCTCGTCGAGGTCGAGGGCCGGGACGGCCTGGCCGAGCGCGCGCGCGAGGGCGACGACCTGCGCCGCCGACGCGCCGATGCCGCTCACCTGCGCCGGCGTCGATCGCGCCGCGCGCGCGCGCGCGGCCGGCGGTGGGACGAGCGCGCGGCGCTCTCGTCGAGGACGCGCGCCGCGACGTCCCGCGCGCGCCCGCGCGCGGCGCCCGCGTGGGTGCGGCCCGGCCGCGCGCCGCGGTGAGGTCGCCGCCGAAGGTCAATTTCACCTTTTGCGCCGCGTAGTCGACGCCGAGGTGGTCGAGCACGAGCGCGACGGCGGCGCGGCCCTCGGCGCCCTTCTTCGCCTTGTAGCCGGGCACGGCGGGCCGGTGGTCCGCGACCTCGATGCCCGCGCCGGCCTCGAGGGCCACGTCGCAGTCCGTGTAGCGTCCTACCGCGGCGACGAGCGCGGGCACCTTGTAGACGACGAAGTGCTCGCCGAGGAGGATGAGCTTGCCGTAGCCGCGGGCGCCGGCCAGCAGCCGCGACCCGAGGCGCTCGCAGCGCAGCCGCTTCGCCGCCGGCGCCTCGCCGTCGTCGGCCATAATCGTGTGGCGTTTGAGTGGTAATTTTTGTCGAGGCGCGTGCGCGCGCGGGGACGGCCTAGGCGCGCCGGAGGTTGTGGGCGGCGCGGGCGTTGACCTTGGCGACGCCGCGGTGGAGGTCGTCGACGGTCGCCGACGTCGCCGCGAGGCTCCGGTTCTGCGCCTCCGTCGCCGACCGCATCGCCGCCGCGCGCGCGGCGAGCGCGTCGACGAGGCCGTCGACGGCGTCGAGGCTCGCGTCGATGGCGCCGTCGTTCGCGCGGAGCTCGGCGAGCGCCGCCGCCTCGGCGCCGTCGCGGCCCGCGAGGCCCGCGGCGACGCCGCGGCGGCCCGCGCCGCGGCCCGGCCGCGGCTCGGGCCCGCCCGGGTCGGCGCGCGCCCAGGCGACGGCGGCCGCCGGGGGCGCCGCGACGCGCCGCGGCGGCGGCGGCGCCGCCGCCGCCGCGGGCCGCGGCGCGGGCGCGGCGACGCCGTGCTTGCGCGCGACGCGGCGCGCGGACGCGGACCGCTCCACGGGCCGGTGCGCCTCGCCGGCCCGCCGCGCCGCGGCGTGGGACTTGCCGCCGAAGATGCGCCAGGACTCGTAGCGGTCGAAGCCCCGGTTGGACCGGCCGAGCGCTTCGCCTACGCCCCGCGCGTCGCGATCGACGGCCGCGAGCTGGTCGCCCTGCGCCTCGAGCGCGTCCGCGGTCGCGTCGGCGACCTCCGCCGTGTCCTCGAGCTGGCGCCGGACGCGCGCGAGCGACGCCGCCGTCCGGCCCTGCGTCTCCAGCGCCGCGCGCGCGAGCGCGGCGTCGGCGGGCGCCGGGAGGGCGTCGCGCGGCGCCGTCGCCGGCCGCGCCGCCGCTCGCGGCCGCGCCGCCGGCGCCGGGGGCGCCGGGGGCGCCGCGGGTGGCGAGGGCGGCGGGGGCGGCGGGTGCGACGCGGCGCAACCCATTAGGGACCTCTTAGTTGGACCTCTTTGTGGCACTTCGACCTGGATGTTTCTGCAACAACAGCAAGGCTGGCCTGGACAGAAACGCCCGGATACATGCCCCCGCTCTGCCAACGCGACGGCCGCCATGGACGTGCTCACGGTGCCCAAGGCGCCCATCGTGTCCCTCGGGGGCAAGTGGACGACGCCCGCGACGTTCAGCGAGAAGGTGCCCGGCCCGGGCAACTACGCGACGATCGGCGGCATCGGCCAGATGAACCCCCAGCTCCGGAGCTCGCAGCGGAGCAGCTTCGGCAAGGAGATGCGCAAGGCCATGGGGTCGGCGACAGACACGCCGGGCCCGGGCCAGTACCACCTCGGCAGCCAGCTCGGGCGGCAGCGCCTGTCCACGCGGCCCTCGAGCCCCGCGAGCAGCCTCGGCGGCCGCACGGCCATCGCCTACAAGCAGGCCGACGTCATGGGCCCCGGCGTCTGCCGCGAGGACTCCTTCCTCAAGCCGAGCAGCTCGCCGAACAAGCAGTGGGCGCCCCAGTACACCTTCGGCCTCAAGACGCCCATCACGACGAACGACGGCACGGAGGTCCCCGGCCCCGGCGCGCGCGGCGCCGCGCGGCACGCGGCGCTCGCCGACGCGACTTCGACGCGCGCGCGCGCGCGCGGGTTCCGTCTGCGCAGGACGCGCCGAGAGCATACGACTCGTCCCAGCATCGGCCGGAACGACGCCGATGCGACCGAGCGGTTCGAAGCTCCGCCGGACCGGTCCGTTCCGACGGTCGCGTCCCGCGCAGGCACCTCACGCGCCGCGCCGCGCGGAACTCGCGCCGTCGGCCCGACGTCGACGGGCGCGCGCGCGGCGGTCGCGGCGCGACGCGCGCGCCCCGCGGCGCGCTCGACGAGAGGCGCGCGCTCGCGTCGGCCGCGCGCTCCGGCCGCGCGCTCGTTCCCACGCCGCGCGTCGGCGTCCGGTCGACGCGTCCCCGACCGGCGGCCGGCGGGCGCGCAGGCAGCAGATCGTCCGCCGCGACCCGACGAAGCCGCTCGCGCCGTCCTTCTCCCTCTCCGGCCGCCACGTCCTCGCGGGCAACAACGCGGACGTCGTCGGCCCGGGCCGCTGCCGGACGGACTCGTCCCTCGGCATGCAGAAGGTGTCCACGCAGAAGAACTACCCGGCGTTCTCCTTCGGGCGGCGCACGCAGGTCAAGAGCAACGCGTCCCGCTACCCGTCCCCGGGCCCCGGCGCCTACGGCTGAGCCGCGCGCGCGCGACGCCGGGCCGCGGAACGGCGCCCGCCGTGCGGCCGCGGCGGGCGCGGCGCGAACGTCGGCCACATGCTCCCGCCGATGGCGCATCGTAGTTCGCCTCGAAGCAGCATCCTAATGGACTGTTGCCCGGGCCGCGCCCCCCCCGCCGGTCAGACGCGGACGAAGCCCGTCGTCGCCGGGTCCGCGCCGTCGAGGTACGCGTCGACCGCGACGGCGGCGACGTCCGCGGCGAAGTCCGCGGCGAGCGCGGCGGCGATGGCCGGCGACGAGTTGACCTCGAGGAGCCAGACCTTGAGCGCGTCGTCGACCATGAAGTCGAAGCCGAAGACCTGGAAGCACGCGAAGGGCGGCTCGAAGGCGTCCGTCGCCATGCGGCCCCGCGCGGCGCCGAGCACGTCGCGGACGATGGCGCGCCACTGGGGCGCGAGGTCGCGCTCGACGGACGCGCCTGCGCGGCGCGACGTCGCTTCGACGGGAGCGTTCCGCGCGCGCGCGTTCCGGGAGAAAGCGCGCGCGCGTCGAGGCCGCTCCGAGGCATGATCGCTCGTCCAAACGTCGGCCGAAACGCGTGGACCATGCCCGAGATCGCGGAGTCTTTGACGTCGGGCGCGTCGCGGTCTCGTCCCGCGCCGGGACGCGCCGCGCCGCGCCGCGAGGTACGCGTCGAAGTCCTCGAGCCAGACCTCGTTCGTCGCCGACTCGTGGGCGCCGTAGGCCGCGCACCGCTCCTGGACGCAGTGGTTGCTGAGGTGGACGAAGGGGTCGCCGAACGTCGCGCGGTCGTTCGAGAACGGCACGGAGCACGTCCGCAGCACGCCCCGCCGCCAGACGTGGACGCCGAAGTCCGCGTCGACGAGCACCCAGATGCGGACGTCGAACTTGCGCCCGCCCGGCTCGAGGAGCAGCGGGTCGCCGAGGTACGCGGACGCGACCCACGCGACGGAGCCTGCGGCGGCGCGAACCTTCGGACGTCGCTCGCGCGGGCCGCGTCCGCGTCGATGCGGCCGCCGGGTGGACGAGTCGCGCGCGCTCGTCGCGCGCTCGACGGCCTCGCGTCCCGACCGTCGCGCGCCCGTCGCGTCGAAGTCAAGTTGAAGTCCGAGGGCGCGCGTCGGCGCGCGGGGATGCGCCCGGCGCGAGGGCCGCGACGTGCGCGTCGATGGCGGCGAGGTCGTCGAAGATGGCGATGCGCGCGCCCTTGCCCCCGTCCGAGGGCTTGAGGATCCACGCGGCGCGGCCGTCGCCGCCGCGCGCGTCGTGCGCGGCGGCGAGCGCGGCGCGCTCCGAGAGGTCGTCGCGGCCGGGCACCTGCGCGGCGCGCGCGTCGGGCCGCGCGCCGCCCCGGCGCCGGCGCGGCGGCGCGCGAAGACGAAGGTGAGCGGGAGCCAGGCCGGCGCGTCGCCCGCGCCGCCGCCGCGCCGGAGCGCGCGCGCGAGCGACGCCTTGCGGCATATTTGCGCGTGGTCACGGTAGAAGTTGACGAGCGGCGGCCGCGCGCCGGGCGGCGGCCGGTGGACGCGGAGCGCCTTCCAGGGCAGGCCCGCGCCGCAGGGCCCGCCGAGGAGGAGCGCCGCGGCGCCGGGCCGCGCGCCGCTGGGCCGCGCGCGCCGCCAGCCCCGGCCCTGGAGGAGCGCCGCGAGGGCCCCGTGGACGGACCCGAGCGTCGGCGCCCCCGGCGCGCCGTCGAGCGGCACGTAGAGGGCGTAGGACCGGCCGGCGTTCTCCGCGCCCGCGCCGTCGTCGACGTGCGAGGCCATGGCGTCGCGCGGGCAGCCCCCCCGAGTCCGGCCCCAACCGCGGCCCGCCGGGCGATGATACCCGGGTGTTGATGCCGACATTTGATGATACGCCCTTACGAGCGCCGTAGCGCGGGCGCGCTCGGGGAGCGCCATGAGCGCCGCGCGGCAGAGCAATGCCGAGTCGCTGGAGAAATGGCGGAAGCGCGCCATGCCGTGGATCGAGGAGGCGCCGCGGCACCAGGGGCGCGCCATCGCCGTGTTCTACGACAAGATGCGGCGCGCGGCGCTGCCGGCGCCGAAGCTCCGGCCCGCCGTGGCGCACCGCGGCGCCCTCGACGCCGTCGAGGACCGCCTGGCCCATTGCCACGACCCGGAGCGGCGCCGGGCCGCCCAGGCCTGCTGGGAGGCCTGGGTCCGGGCCAAGGGCGCGCCGCCGCCGCGGCCCGCGCCCGAGCCGGGCCCGGGCGCGGCGCCGCCGCGGCCCGGGCGCGCCGTGGGCGCCGCGGAGCACGCCGCCTGGGTCGCCGCCAAGGTCGCGAAGCGGCGGGGCCTCCGCGAGGCGCGCGCGGCCGCCGTCCGCGACCTCGAGGCCCTCCAGGCCGCCCACGAGTCCGCGCGCGCGTCGCGGCACGGCGCGCGCGTCGCCGCGGCCGCCGCGCGGCGGCGCCTCGCGCGCCTCGACGCCGCGCCGTCGCCCGGCGCGCGCCGGGCGCGGTCCCGGGCCCTGCGGCGCCAGCTCGACGCGCTCCGGGCCCTCGAGGCGAGCCCGCTCCTCGGGCCGCCGGGCGCGGTCCCAGGCTCGGCCGCGGGCTCGGCCGCGGCCGCGGAGCCGTCGCTCCGCCGGAGCGCGGCCGCGTCGTCCCGCGCGGCGTCGTCGTCGTCCGCGTCCCGCCCCCCGCTCCTCGGGGAGCCGTCCCTCGCGAGCTGGCGCGACGAGGCCGCGGACGCGCTCGCCGGCGGCGTCGCGGCCGGCGGCGCGGCGACGCGCGACGCGCCCGACGTCGCG